TTTTGGCAGTCCCTGGCTGTCTCCTTACCTCCATTTAGCATTCTTGATTTGTGCAGTTTTGCTGAGACTCTCTGTTGCAATGTTGACTTATCACTCATCCCAGTAAGTTCCCATTCGCTCTCCTCCTGACAGTCTCGCCTAATGTACTTATTCATTCAATTTAAATAAATCGAACATGGGCCTATGACAGCCGATAAGTGAGTCACACAAGAGCAAACAGAAGAGAAAGCTCTGCAAATAGTCAAATGTCAAGTAAGAATGGAAAACTGTCCCCACAGCTTCAGCGAACCTTGGATGTCTAATATTTATGGCCAATTGATGTCATTAGAAAGTAAATAAGCCCTCTTATGCTGCATTACATAAGATTAACTGCAAGCGATGGAGTTTAAATAGCAGAGATAAGTGCAGATGGAAATAAACCTGTTTAAAGTTGGAAATATTTGATGGGCCTCCTTGCTGCTTTTAAGATAATTGATCTGTATATCTATATTGAATCTCACCATAAAAGCTTTGAAGAGACTTATGGCAAAGCCTGTTCAGGCCCAAATCACATTTCTCTGGGGCCACCCAGCTTGGGTTAGAACCTTTCCAAAGAGGAGCTTGGGCTGACGAGATGAAAGAAACAGAGAGAAAAGTCTTGCTGACTGCAACCAGCCTACCCCATACACCCCTTTCAACCCCAATTTCCTGGCCAGCAGCTAGAACTAAATGACAGGCTATAGGGACTTGACCTGTTGTGGGCAGGGAAACTAAAGGAAGGGCAGTGGTTTACCATGGTGGAGAGAGGTGGAGTGGGTTAGAAGGAGGCCTAGTCGTGCTCTCAGAGTGTTTGCAGTAGTGCCATGTACAGTTTGGCTCCCCTTATCTAAGATTCCACTTTCTGTAGTTTTAGTTATCTGGGGTCAACTATGGTCAAAAAATACTAAAAGGAAAGTTCTAGAAGTAAACAATTTATGAGTTTTAAATAGTACATCATTCCATGTAGCATAGTGAGATCTCATGCCATCTTGCTGGTATGTGAATCACCTCTGTCTAGCCTATCTATCTGTGCTACATATGTAACTGCCATTTAGACACTTAGTAGCTATTTCTGTTATCAGGTGCACTACTGCAGTGTTATACTACTTGTCCTCATGTAGCCCTTGCTTTAGTTAATCATAACCACAAAATGCAAGAGTAGATGTTAATTTTTTACTGTGCATACTTTATAAATTAAGCATATATATTTTTTGAAAAAAAAAAACATGGTATGATATATGGTTTCCAGCATCCATTGGGGGTCTCTAAATATATCTCCTGTGGATAAGGGGAAACTACTCTATTCCTCTTTATAATTAAAATTATTCTCAAACATATGGAAATTAGATAGCTGTCATAGCCACTTTCCTTGTTACTGTGATCAGATACCCAACAAGAAGCAACTTAAGGGAGGAATGTTTATTTTGACTCACAGTTTGAGGATACAGTCCAACATGGCGGGAAACTTATGGTAACGGGTGCATTAGGTGGCTGGTTGCATTAGTATTCACAGTCAGGAGCAAAGAGATGAAAACATCTACTTCGCTTACTTATTCCTTTGTATTCAGTCTAGGACTCTAGCATATGGAATGGTACTGCCCACATTTAGCTTGTTTTTCCTATTCAATTAAGCCTTTTTGAAAACCCCCTCATAGATATACCCAAGAGGTATTTTTCCATGGGGATTCTGAATCCAATGAAATTAACAATGAAGATTAACCACACAGCAAACTTAGATAACTCTCAGATAATTTTTTGTTGCCTATGATCCAGATTTATCTATGGATTAGATTTTTCGGCAGTCTCCCTGTCATTAGTTTACCTTAAGAAATGTTATCATTCATCTTCAGATTGTTTTGCCTGTGTTGGCCCTGGAGAGAAAATTTTGTCTTTTAATATTTTGAATCAGATATAAATAAAAACCCTCCTTATGGTTGTTTCCTTCGTGGCACACACAATTGGCACAGACTGTATACCCCCCACACAAAAATTTTTATGGCTATGAAAATAGGGGAAAATACAAAGAACATAATAAATATAGCCAGCTTTTGAAATGAAGCTTTGACACCTATCACAGTTGGCTGTCTCTCAGTCAAACATCTATTCAGTGCACTCATTGTCATCAGCATCTGTACCTGTCTTCATTTTGGTGGTGCCTTGCCTGGGCTTACACATGCTAAGCCTTGATGTGGCCTCATTCAAAGCTGTCATATTCATGGCCATATTAGACTTTTGGTACTTTAGTGATCAAAGCCAAGATAACAGGTAATCAGAGAGAAAGTGATGCCACATAACCTCTATTGGAGGGTACTCCCCATCCAAAGGTCTAAAGAGCTGCTTCAACATGTCCCTCCCCCAAAAGTTTTACCACCTCCCACACTGCTACCCTGGAAACAAAGGCTTTTATCATATTGGGCCATTTGAGAACATTCAGAGAATACTCAAACCACAGCAGGTGATGACTTTTAGCTCATTAACTATAACATGATACATAACATGATACTATAGGCAACACAGTAGTCCATAGGAAGCTCTGTTTGGTGATATGAAAAATTTTCAAGTTGAACCTATTCTAGCAGGTTTTGTTAAAGAAGCAGTTTTTTTGTTTGTTTGTTTGTTTGTTTGTTTGTTTGTTTTGGACTTTTTTTGAGACAGGGTTGCCTTGTAGCCCCAGCTGGCCTGGAACTGGCTATGTAGGCCAGGTTGGCTTTAACTCCCAGAGATCCACCTCCCTCTGCCTCCCAAGTGCTGGAATTAAATGCGTGTGCCACCACGCCGGACTCAAAGAAGCAGTTTTAAATTTCTTCTGCAATAAGAAGAAATTTTGGGCCGCAGAGACCCTTGAAGTATACCCGGAATTAGGACCCACCTCCCACATAGTGGCTAACAAACATCCATAACTCCAGTTCCATGGGGTCTGTTGTCATTTTCTAGCTTCCACGGGCACTAAGCATACATGTAGTGAGTGCACTTACATACATGTAGGCAAAACACATATACACATAAAATAAAATACTTTTAAAAAGTATAACATTCAGGTGGCTGGGGCAGGTGGACCTCTGTGAGATCGAGACCAGCCTGGTGTAATAACAAGTTCCAGGCCAGCTGGGACTATAAGGAAACTGTCTCACAAAGAACCCCCCAAAACAAAACAAAAAACAAAACAAAACCCCCAAACAACAAAAAAAAAAAAAAAAAAAAAAAAAAAAAAAACCAACAACAAACGGAGCTGAAGAGATGGCTCAACAGTTAAGAGCACTGCCTGCTTTTACAGAGAACCTGTGTTCGATTCCCAGCACATGCATAACTGCTAGCAACTGCCCTTAACTCCAGTTCTAGGGAATCTGATAATCTCTTCTGGCCTCTGTGGACATTGCATGGCATGGGTACACTTACAAGCAGGCAAAATACTCATACAAATAAAATACAAGTAAATAAATAATTTTAAAAGAATAGCAAATATAAAATTAGTTAAAACATTTTAGACTCTTGCGCTGTTCACAAGAATGAAAATGAAGATAGCTAAGCTTTGAGAGTATCCTCTCTATGGGTAATATTAACACCAGCAAATGCTTGAAATTCTTTAGTAGTGACCCTGTTGTTCCAAAGCATGTTCAAAGTTATTCAATATTAATTTTGACTCAATTGTGCTTAAGATTTTAATTTTATGTTTATAATTCTGCTTTATTCAAAGGGGTTATCATATATTCTCTTTTGTCATTCATAATTCAAATGGTTTTCTGTGGGCTGCCATTGTTTTGATACTAAGTGATTAAAACCAGAAACCAAAGAGTTACCAAGACTATATCATGTCTTCCTAGGTAGCTAATTCACAGTCGTTGAGGACTGGTTTCAACACTTTTAAATGCATCCTTCTGATTGATCAGTCCTTTTCTTCGGGATCTTACAGGGACTTGAATACTGGATTATTTAATTTATTTATTTGTTTGTTTGTTTATTTATTTGCCTAGCCTTCAGTACCACGTATTACTGTTATACCCAACCAATGGCTTCTTCTTCTTTTCATTTTATAATTATTGGTCTGTGCTCTTCACACTCAAGGTAAAAGTTCTAAGGCAACTTTCTAGAGACTCTGGCATTGGGATAGATGGAAGGAGAGAAGGAGGGAGGGAAGGAGAGAAAAAGGGAGGGAGCCAAAATAAGGGAAGATGGTAGGATGGTAGCTGTTTAAAAGTAGACTGATCTGTCAAAGCCTTATGGACAAGGTGACATATGAACAAATATTTGAAGAATACTTGGGTGATTCATGTGGATGCATATTTGGGAAACCAGGGATTTCAGGGTGGAAAGGAACAAATATAAAAGCCCTAGATCATGCCTCACATTTTCAAAGGTTAGCAAAGAATCCCATGTGACTGAAATAAATTAAGCAAAGAGGACTTAGAGATAAAATCAAATGGTGGGCCATGGTGTATAGGGTCTTATAAGTCAAAGTAGTGACTTTGGCTTTGACTTTATGTAACCTGAAGGATCAATTCAATAGCTACTGTGTTGAATAAACTCTAGACATAGGCAAGGGTGGAAGCTGGGAGAATTGTTAGAAGTTCTGTTCTAATAATCCCCATGTGAGAAGATTGTAGCTTAGTTGGAAGCAATGTTGGTAGAGATGCAAAGCTAGAAACCAGTTATATATTTGCTGTAAGGTTGGTGGGGGTGGTATTAGAGACACACAGGAAGCTTTTCACATTTTTTATTACTAAGTGCAAGCCATTGCTTTTATTTAATACAGTATAAATAAAACCATCTGTACCAGCTCTGAAACTCCTGAAATTGCTGATGGCTTCAGAGTGAGAAAGCGTCTTGATTATTACATTAGTTTTGACGAGAGGACAGCAAATTTTGGCCCAAGGGCAAAATCTGGCTCTTCCTACTTTTGTTAATAAAGTTTTATTGGAACAGAGCCACACCTGTTCATTTATTTAATGCCTATGGCAATTTTCCTGCTATAGAGGCAACAGAGGATGCTCCCTTTGGCAGTACACATACTAAAATTGGAACAATACAGAGAAGATTTGCATGGTCTCTGCAAAAGATGACATGCAAATTCATGACGCATTCTGTAATTTTAAAAAATAAAGTAACAGAGACTCACATAATCTAAAATAGTTGGTATCTGTCCCTTTAAAGAAAGAATTTGGCTGATCCTTGGTTGTTTAATCCATTGTCTAAGATTTGTGTCAAAATTTTCCTCTAATCTTTTCCCAGTTGCTAGTGGAAAATTATGAGGGGTTATGAAATGGTACAGGAGAACATTCAAATTGGTACTATTCAAATACCAATACCAAGGTCTTTGTCTTCCTTATGTTAACTTGCCTACTTAATTGCTTTGGGAATCCAGTTCTTCCAGGTTTCTGTTCTGCTTTGTCTATTTTGGGAAACTAGTGCAGCTGATTGGCCTCGGGGGAGTGGTTGTATATCTTTTCAACAGAAAAGATGTTATAGGAATGACTCCTGAGTGGTAGAGAATAATTTTAAAATTTGTGGCCTTGATGGAAAATAAAAGATAAGCACCATCATCCACGTGAGCATCAGTCTTTCTGAAGAATTTGGCTCCCTTCTGATTTTGTGTGATCCAGTGAAACAATACAAATAAGTAGACCTCTAATACTGCTTGGTTTCACAGGTCTATCATGACAGATCTATACTACCTCAGTCAAACAGATGGAGCAGGTGATTGGAGGGAAAAAGAGGCCAAAGATCTGACAGAGCTGGTCCAGCGGAGAATAACATATCTCCAGGTAAGAGGGTTAGATTAAGAAATAAACCTTGAGTGGAATAAATAAATTAAAAGTGCAATAAAATAAAAGATGAAAATTGGGTTTTCTTTTTAGTCTTTTTCTAGTGTTTGCTTTTTTAAAAAATACTCCTTTTACGTATTTATTCAAAAAATGCTGTCTTGAGAAAACAACCTTGGCTAAAACAAGGTCCCTGCCCAAAAAGGGCTACTTCTTTAACAAAGTCTATACTTATGAACATGTTGCATTTTATAGGGAACACTCATTGGCAGTTTGAAGAAGGTGACATCATGAATAGTTTATGGAAGATATATTATTGAACTTAACTGTAAAGATGGTCAGATCAGATTTCTACATCCAGAAATGGAGGTAAAGTGCATACTAGCTGGAGAGTATATTGTAAGCACTGGCCCATGGCAAGGAATGAGTAATACAGGAGCCAGAGTGAGAGCTGAGGTCTTTAGTTTGTCAGGAGTTTTAGGCTGTATGAAAAAGAGGGATGGAAAGTAAGCTGTAAATAGATTTGGGAGCTAGATTATAAATGCTAAGCTTTATGGTACATGAACATTATATGATTACTGAAAGATGCTATTTAGTTCAAAGATGTAATTTTAACAAGAAAGAGGAAATATTGGTAAACCTTAAACCCCAGAAACTTTAAAAATTTTTATTTACTTTTATTTTCTGTGTATGACCGTTTTGCCTGCAGGTATGTTAGTGCATCTGTGACATGCAATGCCTTTGAGGCCAGAAGAGCGTATCAGATCCCCTGGAACTTGAGTTGAGGACAGTTGTTAGCCACTCTGTGGATACTAGGAATCAAATCTGTGTCCTCTGCAAGAGCAGCTGGTGCTCTTAATCATTGAGCATCTCTCCATCCCCCCAAGGGACTTTTAAATCGTCTTTGTGCGTGTGTGTGTGTGTGTGTATGTGTGTGTGTGTGTGTGTGTTTAAGTTCTTACTAATATCCATATATATTTTTAGATATTTATAAGGAAAGAATCTACTTACTTTTGAATTTAATTTTGCTTGTTAATATTCTCTAAACGTCTTCTATTTTTGGTTTCACAACATTCTTGTTTTGTTTGTTTCTCCCCCTAGTGCTAGGGATTAAACTCAGGGCCTACTGACTGCATGGCTTTAAAAGGTTTTAGGCATAGAAGGGCATGTTGAGAATGATACTTTAATATGAATCTAAAAGTAGTATTTTGGTTGAACTGTGTTAGTATTTGAAGAGACTAGAAGCAATGAGAACATAGAGGACAAGATCACAGTGAAGGTGAAAAGAAGTGAGGGTTGTGATAATTTGCATTGAAGTAGAGACAGATTTTGAGATTGGGAAAGTAGAATTAATAGACCTTTCTAAATAAGTGCAAGAGGTGAAACGATGGGAATGGGAGCATTGTGAACTTACAACAAATTGAAAGAATAGTTGTTCACGAGAACAGTAAATTAATAGTGTTACTCAAAACTGAAAAATGCTTAAAGTTGAAATAACCATGAAACAGTTTCTCCACTCAGTCTTCTCATGCTGTTGACAGCATAGTTTCAGTGTATAATCACTATCTTCCCTTTCAGAGTAGAAGCAAAAGGGCAGTCCCCGATGTGCTTCTATATATTTTAAGGTATATATTTTTATACAGGTAAGTTAGGAAAAAAAGAAAAAAAAATCTGGTATTTAGGGGTCATTAAAAACCAGCTTGATGCTGGCATGCTCTTGGTCTCATGCTCCCATGACCATTCATTAGAGGAGACTGCAGAATGAGAACCACTTTACCTCCTATAGGGAAGATGTGATTATCTCCTATAACTGCCTCCTCATTCAATGAACTATGAACAGCTGGTGGTGCAGAACCATCATCTTATTGGTTAATAAAGTGGAAACAACAATGGTTTGTGAGTCTTCCATGTCCACATATCCATTAAATTTTCAAGCACTATATTTAAACTATGATCTGGTCATGGTCAACTCTCTATACTGTAACAAGCACTAGTACCTGCTTTAGTTTCTTTCTCTCTTTTTAAAAAATCTGCTTTCTTGGTCGCACTGTGTATATCAGTAGTTCATTGCTTTTAATTATTAAGTCATATTACATTGTGTGGCTGCATCACTATATTCATTTATTTATTTGCTTGTTGATGAACATTTAGTTCTTTCCAGCTTGGGTTAATATGAATAAACTCTTATGAACACTCATATAAAAATGCATCCACGGGCTTTATACTTTCATTCTTTCTCATAATACCTAGCAATATAATGTATATTGAACTCAAGAAACTGTTGAACTGTTTTTAGAAGTGGGTATGCCATTTTCATTCTTTTTTTTCTTTAACTTTTGTGTGTGCATGTGTGCATGTGTGCCGTGTGGTATGTGGGCGGTGGTATGTGGTATGCATGCCTTGGCACTCATAGGTCATAGCATGCTTGTGTAGGTCAGAGTACAAACTTGTGGAAGCTGGTTCCCTCCATCCACCAGTCACAGATCATCAGGCTTACTGCCAAGCACTTTTACCCGCTGAACCATCTTGTCAACTTCCATTTACATTCTTAACCAGCATGGAAGTTCCAGTTGTCCCACATCCTCACTAAAACTTGGCATGATCAGTTTTCTTATTTTAGTCATTTAGTGTATTTTTAGTATGTCATTGTCGGTTTAATTTACATTGTCCTTTTATGATAGTGGAATAGTATCTCTTTGTATGCTTATTTGCCATCCTTGAATATATTTTCATGTGTGTTCGCATTTGCACAGGTACATGTGTGTGCCAGTGCACATGCATTTGAGTGGGTGTGCATGTGTGGACCAGAGAATATCAAGAGTCATTCCTCAGGTGCTGATCACTTTTCTTTTTGACACAGGGTACCTCACTGGATGGGAGCTTGACAAGTAGATTAGGGTACCTGGCCATGGAGCCAGCCTGGGATTACAAGTGCACACCACCATGCCTGACTGTTTGTTTCTCTGTTTGTTTTTGAGAGGGGGGGTCTCCCTGCAGCCCCAGATGCCAGAAACTCACTATGTAGACCAGGCTGGCGTTGATCTCACAGAGATCTGCCTGCGTCTGTCTCCCAAGTGCTGGAATTAAAGGTTTGAACTACCATGCTAGACACATGCCTGGCTTAACATAATTTCTGAGGATCAAACTCGAGTCCAACTGCTTCTGAGTCAAGCAAGCACTTTACTAATAACTGAGCTATTTCCCCAGGTCCCCTGTGAACTGTCCAGATCTTTTAGTCAATTTTTAGTTGGGATGTTTGTTTTCTTATTGTTTGAATTACTGAGGCTTTTTAATCTAAATGTGAGTCCTTTGATATAAATTCTGGAAATATTTTCTTTCAGTCTATAACTTGCCTATATTTTCTTAACAATGTCTTTTGAAAAGCAGAAGTTTTTAAATTAATGAAATCTAACTTTAAAAATTAAATTTAAAGTTTTCACTTTATCATATTTATGAAACTTTTGCTAAATAAGGTAACTAGATCCTTTTTCCTTTTTTCTTCTAGGAGATTTTTAAATTTACCTATTTATTATTTTTCTCATGCTAGGGATTGAATTCAAAGCCTTGTGCATACTTGGCAAGCCCTCTGACACTAAACCACATCTCTAGCCCTAGTTTTATAGTTTAGTTCTTGTATTTATGTCTGTGATCCATTTTGAGTTATGATATGAATGAATAGTTCAGGTTCATTTTCTTGCTTATAGCTATTTGAGCCTTTTTTGGAGATTAGCCTTTTCTGATTGTCTTAGTTCTTTTGTTGAAAATCAGTTAGTACATACATGTCTACCTTTCTGCTAATACTGTTTTCATTGCTATAGCTTTGCAGAAAGAATTAAAATTGGGTAGTATGATTTCTCCAACCTTACTCTTCTTTTCAAAATAATGTTGTAAATCCAATTTCTGATCTTGGTGCCCTTTAACAGTAGTCAAATATATAATTCTTAACCTTAAATATTATGTTTACTATTAGTATAATTTACAGAGAACCATAAATTTAGTCCCTCTATTCAAAATTCCTGTCAAAGTCTAATTTTTACATTTTAGGCCTTCTTAGCAAGAGCTTAACCTTGTTTTGAGATGCTCAGTGGAACTGAAGGAACTTTTCTGAATGTCTGACACTTTGTACTCATTGTAGCTCCCTACATTTTGTCATTTTAAGTTTATATATTTTTTTAAATATTTTTAAAAATATTTTATTATTTTTATTTTACCTGTATGAGCGTACTGCCTGCATGTCTGTGAGTGTACCCATGTCATGCAGTGCTGCGGAGGTCAGAAGAGAGATTCAGATTCCCCAGGAACTGGAGTTAATGACAGTTCGTAGCCACCATG